TATATGCATTAATATATAAATAAATGTATGTTATACTTCCCGTGTTGGTAATATGTATTATATGTTATACTTTGCGTGTTTGTAGTATGTATATATATAATATTATACTTTACTTATACCATTTCCATGTTTCATGCTATCATCTTCCGGAAGTTGGAAGAAGAGTTTATAAACTGCGAGCTTTGGTTCTATAGTTTCCTGATTACTTGATCATTTCTACCATATATAGACTAAAAAATGATATAAATATATATATATATATATATATATATATATACCATTTCCATGTTTCATGCTATCATCTTCCGGAAGTTGGAAGAAGAGTTTATAAACTGCGAGCTTTGGTTCTATAGTTTCCTGATTACTTGNTATATATATATGTGCGGTTTAGGTAAGTGTATTGTATAAGAATGTATTACTGTAATAGCGTTTGGTTTAATAAGAGGAAAGAAATAATGAACTAAAGTGTTATGGATTAAATTGTTACACAATTATCTCAAGTATAATATGTATTTTAATAATTATAAAAATGTGTATTTTTTATTTAATAATTATTTAATTATTAATAAAAATTATATTATCAACAGGTGTTATGAAAGAACAGTGTAGATTTAAGTTTCATGTTTCTTTTCACATAATCTTTCTATTATAAAGTTTTATCTTTATATTATTTATTTATTTATTTATTAAATATTAGATAGAATTAATATGAACAAATAGAGCATATTATTTATAACATTTTACATATAATATTGTAAATAAAACACAGGAGTTTTATGAAAGAACAGTGTAGATTTAGGTTTCATGTTTATTTTTCAAATAATCTTTTTATTACTTTGTATATTATTTATTTGTTAATTAATTAAATATTAGATAGAATTAATATGAACAAATAGAGCATATTATTTATACCATTTTACATATCGTATTTTAAATTTCTATTCAACTGTTAAAACAAATTATTTCATACTTTGAAATATTATAGATAAATTGATTTTATTTTATATTTATATAGTATTTTATTAATAATAAAAACATTTTATTGCATTAGGATAAATTCAGTTTAGAATTTAATTTTTTATTACAATAAAAAAATGTTTGCCTTTTTTTTTTTTTTTTTGGAACACATTTCTGTCAGCGTCAAATATGTTCACGAATCTCCAAAGAAGTATTATACTATCCTGATTCCAGTTTGTTTATTTTGTACAGAACAAAAAAACTAAAAAAAAAAAATAGAAAAAAATACAACAAATTCAAATGACCAATAGACTTACACGCATTGATCTTCAACAAAAGTAAACAATTTTATTTTAATTTATTTTTCAATATTTTCATACGAGAAAACCACATGTATTAATTTCAAGACAAATTATTCAAATTTCTGTGAAAAAAAAAAAAAGAAATTGCAAAACAAATTGCAAACGAATGATAAACAATTTTTCCTTATTATTTAAACCAATAATTTTTCTAACAAACATTTGTAATGTATTATTTAAAGATCATGCTTGACACTATTCTGGATTCCTGTTTGATTTTCACGTGTAAGAAAAAGAAAGATTGGTGGTAGAAAGAAAAAAAATTGTGAAAGCAGGTTTGTAGTAATCATCCTGAAAACAAAAAAAACAAAAAAGGATTCTTGAGTGTTTGAAAGATTATTATTTGATCGTAAACAGATTTTGCTCGGTACTGATTTAAAGATAAATGCGAGAAACAGGAACCCATGAAAACGTTGAGATGAATCAACGCCGAAATTCTATGGTAAAGGGCTACGAAGAAGGTGGTGTAGCCCTTTTATGGGTGTCCTTGATCTGTTACTCCCTAAAGGGCATACGCCTACGCACTTTTACTAGGAAATCATGAAGAAAGGATTGGTTCCACTGTTGAACCATGCCCTTCAAGATTATTCTTCCTAAGAAACTTTGAATTCACGTTTTAGTTATAAATAATCAATAGAATTAATAGAAATTGTTTATTATTATTATTATTATTATTATTATTATTATTATTATTATTATATTAATTATTATAGAAAAAAATAATCTATAATAGTTCAAATTAAAAAATAGACAGATTATTTAATTCATACTTTTGTTTATATTATAATAATTTAATGTTATATATGTGAATTTATATTATTATAATATATATATATGATAATGTTATATTATAATATTTATTTATATTATTTTTTAATAATTTGCAGTAAATTAATTGTATAAAATTATTATTTAACACATTGGTTTATGCAGATACAAACATACATGCGTAATTTTAAATAATAATTTTCAAATTTTACCAATGTTTCAAATCTTTGAAAATCAATCACATATTAAAATTAAAAACATTAAAATTTAATTAATATTTATTGTATATAATAATATATATATATTATTATTATTATTATTAATATAAATAATATAATTAAATGTAATTAAATATCAAATTATTTATCAAAGTATTTATCAAAGTATTTGTTTATTATTTAAATTCAATCAAATTGCATTAACTTATCATTTTATTTTTTTTTATTATTTTCTAACATTATTATTATAAAAAATAATATTATTTCATAATGTAATTCTAACTCTTAATAATTTTTATTAACAAAAGATCCAAAAAGAAATGTTGTCTTCAACAAAAAAAAAAAAAAGAAAAATAAAACCACGTCTCGATAGAACCAGATCGAAGGAGAGATGGTTTGCTTGTTGCATGCAAGGTCAAGTTGTTGCATGGATACGCATGTAAATGAATGGGGACTGGATAGGGCAGTGTAACAGGCTAACAAAGAACGCAAAGAGTCTTTCAAGGGTCTTATAGGCCTTTTAATGCTCTTGAACAAAACAACAACCAACCTCCAGTGGTAGTAATGGTGTGGTAGTGGTGATGGTTACTGTTAAATTAAACTGATCAGAACATTTTTTCTTATTATATTGAATTTATCAAGTCGTATAAATAATGTACACATACTAATAAGTTTTTAATTTAAACTAATACTATGATATTATTTTTTTAAATTACTTTTTATTGCARATGTTTAATTAATTAATTTAACAATTTATTCTTCCATCTTTTATTTATATATATAATTTTTTTTTCATTGATTAGTTTTATTCACAATTGTTTAGATGGTATACGACTGTTCTTATCAAACGTGTTATACATTGTTTGTTTGTTTGTTTGTTTATATTTTTTTTTATATACATATAAAGAAATATATATATATATATATGAAGTAGCAAAGAAGAGTTGTCAGAAACTGTCAATCAACATTTTAACGAGTAATCACGATACGACATTGTTACGATACTCTTATCAAGTGTACAGAAATTCAGAGGAGTTGAGAGAATTTGTCCACACCCATTTCAGTTACGAACAATATCCCTGTTGGTAGAATCAGGGTTGGGGGTGCAAAGTATTAGGTTGTTAGGTTAATAGAAGAGGATTATTTTAGATAAGGGTAAAGAGGGTAAAAAGGGGGTTGKTTGGTTGGTTGGTTGGTGTGTTGTTTATTCGCAACATATGGGGATGCTGGTGAGTACTGAAACCGGTGTTCAATGGCACCCCATTGTGTCATTTATCGATTACTGAAGACTAGTTTTTGTTAGGTTTAAAACCTTACCCGCATATCGATCGAATTTCTTTCATCTTTTTTTCTCCAAACTGCCAGCTGATTTTATTTTTTTCTTACATTCGAATAAGGTTTCTTTTTTGATTGTTTTTTTATTTTGTTTTATTTTGGATGTAGGTAGGTTTTATGGATATTTGTAGAAATTATTAAAATTTATAAATATATTAGTATTTAATTAATAAATCGTAATAAATAATAAATGCAATTTAATAATATTAAATAATAATTTAAAATTATATATTAATAATATTAATATATTTATTTATAATTGTAGTATAAATAATATTAATATATTTAGAAAAATAATAAACAATAAATACAATTTTGATAATATTAATAATAATAATAATAATAAATAATATTAATAATAAATAATAAATACAATTTTTATAGTATTCTTAAATAAATATTGAAAAAAGAAAAAAAAAACAGAAGAAAACCTCAAGTGAACCCTGCTGTTAGATCGTTGATTGGTCAAATGAAAAGAACTTAAATTAATTAAACCTACTTATACATTAAATGAATGTAACGATATTAAAAGAAAGGGTCGGCCCTTTTGAACTAATTCATGTCAATACAGTAATATTTGGAAATTCCAGGAAAATATAATTTCATTGAAAATAGTTGAGTCATTTCGAATACTCGCAGTCAGTTTCTTCAGTCTCCTTTACTTATCATTTTTCCTGATATACATATACGATGTATACATACATGTCTATAAACATACACTAAAAGAAGAAGAAGAAGAAGAAGAGGAAGAAGAAGGAAGGAAAAAAAAATATTCAAGTAAAATAAAAAAGAATAGAAAAAAATTGTGATGATAGTAGTGGGGGTAAAACGAAGGAATAAAGTTCGAAGCCACTGAAATTCTTTCAAGTTATCAGTTTATTACGGTTTCTCGATCAGTCTAGACGTTTGTCGGACTTTAAACCATTCAACATATATACATATACATATATATATACATATATATAAAGAAACAAAAAGAAATTAATTAATTTATTTAATTTATTATTATTTTTTTAGTTTGTGTTCGTAATATTATCCATTTGTTTAATATAAACGTGCTTGTAACCCGTTATATTTTTTTTTTTTGTATTTTTGTGTTTCCTTCTTTAAGTTTTTAGTTTATTATTTCGGTTATTTAGTTAATACAATAATAAATAAAAAAAAAAAATATTATAACAAAAAAAAAAAATAGAAAACACGTTCGAATTTTCGTGGGGTATTTTTTTTTTCTTTTTCCTTTGAGTTTGATTTCGTGATGGTGAATTAATTTTAAATTTGTTTTATCTCGATATTTATATAGATCTGATTGTTCGATAATTTATTTAATATAATTCGAACTCTGTTTGTAACCCATTATATTTTCTTTTTTTTTTCGTTTTGTTTCGTTTTATTTTTCTTTCCTTTTTTGTTTGTGTTTGTTTCTTTGATCAAAACAACATTCATATACGTATTTCATAGAATTTATCTCAATTTACGTCAATAGATTTTTCAATATAAATCGTTTCTCGACCTTACACTATAGTCAACGCAATAAAACTTAATTATACATATATATTAATAACTATGATTTTAGTATTTGTTCAATAGTGAAAAACACGAGTGATGTAAAGTGACTAAATGTTTGAAAGATATTCATGAATTTAATCGATCAATTTATTTCATTAATTTTTATATGTTTTGTTCAGTGTGTATATTACATATTTTTTGTGAAGTTTATTAATTTAATATTAAATCAAAATGTTTCTAAACGAAACATTATTAGTATTAACATATACAGCCAATATTATGTCGAGATTACCTACGCAAAATAAATCAACTGCAATTGTTGATTCTAATGATTTTATTAATCAAACAACTACGACACTTTCTCCGGAAGAAAAAGAAAATAAATTTGATTTTGAAGATCGTAAGTAAAGTTTGAGTTTTTTTTTTTACAATTGTTACATACAATAATTAATTAAATAAAATACAAATAATTGTCGATGTTTCTCTCGATAAAAAATATTTTCTATTTTATTTCTAAAAAGTTAATGAAATATAAGTCAAAATAATATAGTAAATATTAATATTAATATTATTATAATATAATAATATTATAATATTAATATTATTATTTTATAAAAAGAATATTTCTTGGATGTTAAATTACAAGCAACGTTATATGAAAACGTATATAGAAATAAAATCAAATGAAATAAAAAAATATTTAAATATTTATTAAAATATTTATATTAGGAAAAAATAAAAATTCCATTATCAAAATCAAAAAAATTTAAATTTTATCAAGTGAAATTGTTATCACATATCAAACTGAACCTTGAAATATGTTTTTACTTATGATATACATTTATTTTATAAGATAAAATTGTTAAATATCAATAGAAATATTTGTTAAGTTAAATGTATATTTTATTTAAACTATATAATTATTATTAATTATATATTTATTATTTATATATACATACATATATATATATATATATATATATATATATATATATATATATAATTCAGTAAGGAATAGACTAAACACGGATAACTGAGTACAAGTTACAGATAAAATGACGTAGATATTGATAAAACTAATGATAACCTTTCTCCTAGGTCAATTACGTTTGTCCGTCTCTTTCAAATCTTAATTTATTATTAATAATAACTAAACGTGTCTCTCTGTTATACCTTGAAATAATTTTTATTTTTTTTTTATATATATATCTGCACACATGTGTTAAAAAGTATAGCAAAAAAAAAAACAAATCAGAGATAATACGCGTTTATGTATTATAATATAATTGGTTATCAAAAATAAACAAATGTAATGTATTATAATATCTTACCACTAATTATAATTATAATCTACAAATTAATTTAATAAACACGTACGTACGTATGTACGTATATGTAATTTATTCGAATCTTATTTTCTTTTTTGTGACCCCCGGTTGAATGATATTCCGTCATACGGTTTGTTTAAGAATTTTGACATCTTACAGGCGTTTCTTTTTTTTTGTTTTTTTTTTTTGTTATTGTTTTTTATAATAGAAATAAATTTATTTTTCTTTTTTTTTATTTTATTTTTCATCCAAATGATACATGAAAAATTGATACAATTGATTATGGTTTCTTTTTTTTTTTTTAATTTATTTGAAAATTCGTTTATAAAATATTGTGACAAATAGGAATTAAACAAATAGAACATTAATTTTACTTTTACAGATATTATATTTCAATGATGTTAATTTAATTAATATTTTTTGTATGTTTTATATTATTTAGAATGGTATATGTGGAGGTGTTACAAACCATATGGTTGTTTTTACATTGGTGCACCATGGTCAGGTGAAAATCGTCCAGTTTCGATGTTTCCAATAAGACCAGACAGTATTAATCCACATTATTTACTATACACACGTGACACCATAAATACAGATCTTATGAATCAATCTTATGAATTGAAAATTGATAATTCTGAAACAATCAAGAATGCACCCTTAAAAAATGATAGCAATTTTTATTTTGTAATTCATGGGTTCTTAGACAGCGGTGATAACACCTGGGTAATGGTGAGTTTAATGGTTTCTGGTGAATCAATCATTTCTTTTTTTTTTTTTTTCAATTATAATTTAATTTATTATTTTGTAGAGGACATTAAAAGAATTATTATTACGAGAAGATTGTAACGTTTTAATAGTAAATTGGATTGGAGGAGCTGGTCCGCCATATGCACAAGCAGTTGCTAATACAAGATTGGTTGGCGCCATGTTGGCTCGTTTAGCAGCACAATTAATAAGTATTGGTAATATTTTACCATCAAAGATGCATATGATTGGTCATAGTCTTGGTGCTCATACAGCTGGTTATGCTGGTTATACATTAAGATCACGTTATCATCATATTTTGGGAAGGATAACTGGTAAGAAAATAAATTGATAAAATGAAAAAAAATTGCAATTTTACAACGACTAATACAAAATATAATCTTAATTTCTCTTTTAACAATAATCTATTATTTATTCGTTCATGTATTTCAATTACTTTTTACACATTTTCCAAAAATTACTTTTCATTTTTCTCAATAGATTATGTTCGAATAAAATGTTGCATTTAATTGAATATTAATTGAATATTATTTATAAATTAATAATTGCAATATGAATTTCTAATTAAATTCAATTGGTACACTTTTGATCATCTTTATTTTGTTTCGATACACAAATTTGCCATGTTTGACGTGAAAACTTGTTTCCCACTCTTTTTTCAAAATCAGCTACTTTACTTAAATCCCACCAATCATATTTCATTTACTTATGTATGATTCATTCGTACGTACGTACGTACGTACGTAAGTACGTTCGTTGGCTTATTCGTGCGTAACCCGAATGATCCCGAACCTGTATCCTTCATCTGTTCGTACACACGTGGTTCCACCGACACTCCGGAGACATACGAAGATGGCCGATCGAAACCCAACCGATCAGGGTAACATCTATGATGGAAGAGAAGCTTTTACCACTAACGTTTTATGTTTATTCTTCTTCTTCTTTTTTCTCTATTTATCTCTCTCTCTCTCTCTCTTTCTTTTCTCAACTACATTTTTAGAATATTGTATAATAAACGATAGAAAGCGCATCTCATTTTTCGAGTTAAAGATCAAACCCCGCGTGATTTGAAAATCATTTGACAAATTTACATACGCGCGAAAATCAATAATAATAATAATAATAACAATAATAATAATAATAATAATAATAATAATAATAATAATAATAATAATAATAAATAAAAAAACACATTCGATTCCTTTTAACTCTCCAAATTTATTATCTTTCTACATTTGTTACGTAATTTCTTGTAAATTGTTTTAAAATTTTTTTTTATATGCAAATTATTTGCCATTTATATAAATGAACACAAGAGAGATTATTATGTAATATATATTAACAAATCTAGTCGTAAAGAAATTATTATTCATACTTTTTCTTTTCTTGCTTAAGAGAATATTTTTAATTAGAAGAATGAAATAAATAAAATGGAGTTTTTTATAATTAAATATTTATATAACTAAACTTTGATCAGATGATGATAATGATGATGATGTTTCTTTCTTCGTTCTTTCTTCTCCGAAAAAATGTCCAGGTTCATTGTTACGTAAGCTATCGATCCCATCAGGAACTAACAGGATAGTAGAAAGTATTCGAGATTGATTCGTCCCTTTTTACAAATTTTATTCTCTACTAAAAGGATCATTGAACTCTTTCATTTTTTTTTTTTAACACCATCTTTGGTCAGTTATTTTTTTTCATTTTTAAATTATTTTATAAAATGAATTGAATTTATTAATTACAATTATTATATTACAGTTAATAAATAATTAATATATTCGTTATAATTATGTAATGAATTGTTACAAAATATTTTGATATTATATTTAATCGTAATAATTATAATATTATAATTATTATTGATTTTGATGAAAAATATTTTACGTAAGATCTTTCAATTATGTAATTTGATATATTTTATCGATTTATTTTTTTTTTATGCATCTTTATGGTTTGTTAATTTTGTTTTACTCTTCCTAGTTTTGCAAAACACACTTTTGAAATTTATTTTACACGTCCAAAAAAAAAAAAAAAAAGAGAAAAAAAAAGAAAACAAATCACATTTCCTTCTTTGCGTAATGTTAGTTGTAATAAAGTATTTTGTAGTCCGGATACGACGAGGTTGCGACAAAAAAATACCTATACACATATACAATACATACATATAGCTAAATTTCTTGTAACACTTAAACGTGATATCATCTTTGTTGTCACTTGAAAAAAAAAAAAAAGGAAAAAAGAAAAGAAATTCGCAGGAATAGTTAACCAACTTACAGGTTAATTAATTAACGTGTTATTCTAAGCCAATGCTTTACGAGAGAAAGTTGTGAAAGAGAGGAAGAGAAAAAGAAAAAAGAAAATAAAAAAAACCCAATAAAATATGTCCAATTATTAATTAACCCTACTAGAAATATTATTTTGCTATAAAACTTACATTTAATATATACAAATAATATTTTTAATTTGATTAAACGAGTTTAAAGAAAAAAAAAAAAAAAAGACAAACAGAAACAAAATTGTTGAATTTACGTTACTTTTCATAGTTTCTTTTTATGGTATATGTTATATTTCATATGTTATTTTAAAACTTCATAAGTATAAAGTTGCTAATATAATAAGTGTTTGTTTGAATGTTTTATTAAAGGCCTCGACCCAGCAGAACCACACTTTAGCAACACTTCACCTATGGTAAGACTCGATCCAACCGACGCAATGTTCGTGACAGCAATTCACACCGATTGTAATCCATTTATCAGTGGTGGCCTTGGTATTACACAACCAGTTGGACATATTGACTTCTATCCAAATGGTGGTCGCAATCAACCTGGTTGCAACGAGGGTGTACTCAATTCTATAACCTTGGAACGTGGTAGTTTCTTTCGTGGTTAGTAATTATATTAATTCATAATCATCGTATCTATGTGCATAGTATGTTCCAATGATCTCATTCACATTTATAATTATTATTATTTATGATCAAGAAATATTTTCATTTGTTAAACAAAATAGTTTGACTATCGTATAATTTATAATTTGTGTTTTATAAATTAATTTATTCAATTATAAATAATTAGTTATATTAAATAATATAATATGATTATTATTATTATTATTATTAATTTTTATTACATAATTTATTATATTTTATTATTAATTTATTACGTAAAATGTTATTATATTTTTAATATTAATAATAATTGTATTAAGTGTATAACTTTGCTTCAACCATTTTTTTCTTTCAAACCATTTGTAGAAACATAAATGAAACAGAGTTGTACACACCTAATAATGTTTTGTTTTGTTTTTTTTTTTGTATATAAAGGTATCAAAAGGTTCTTAGGATGTAATCATATTCGTAGTTACGAATATTTCATCGAAAGTATCAACAGTCATTGCCCTTTCATAGCAGCACCCTGTTCGTCATGGGATCATTTTCAAGAGGGTAAATGTTTCGATTGTGTCAATCAATATTGTCCAAGGTTTGGTTTGGATGCACAACCTGGAAATTATCATGCTTCCGTTTACTTCATGACAGGATCAGATAAACCATTTTGTAGTAAGTCTTTTGATTTTTCAATTATTTGTGATATTATATTATATTATTTATAAAACAAAATATATGTTAATATATTTTCAGAGGCACATTATCGAATAACAATAAATATTTCAAAGACAAACGAAAGCATAAGTTATGGCGGAGAAGTAGGTACATTTTCCATCAAAGTGATAAGCGTTAATGGAAAACAAACAGAGAAGATGAAACTCAGTCGAAATTCGAAATATTACGAGCCTGGTAGCGTATACACCGTTGTTTTACCTGGCGAGGTTGTTGGTAAACCGGATGCTGTTGAGATTACGTGGGAATATCAAACTTCAATGTTCAATCCTTTAACTTGGAGATTTCTACATACACCTCGTGCTTATATCGATTCTTTGACGATCGATAGTCTCGAATTTAATAACAGGTATGAATTTTTCTTTTTTTTTTTTTTTTTTTTAAATATTTTCTATTAATTTTACCATCCATAGTTTTGTTTTTTTTTTTATTATGTTTTTGATCAATATAGTTTTTATTATTTGCACATTTTTCAATGAAATTTATTCTAATATTTTACATATAAAATAATTTAAATATATAAAAAAAAAGAGAATGTTTAATTATATATAATATTTATGTTTAGTAAGAAAAATGTCAATTTATAAAATAATTATAATTATTTTTTATATATTTTATATATAATATACTTACAATCAATTATTATTAATTAATTGTAATTAATAATATTGTATTATTGTTTTGTATTGTATTGTATTGTTAATTGTTGTATTGTTTTTTTTATATATTTTATATATAATATACTTACAATTAATTATTATTAATCAATTAGTATTAATTAATTGTAAGTATTTACAATTAATTATGTTAATATTTTTTGTTTTATTTATATATTTATTTTTTTAATTTAATTTAATTTTATTTTATTTTATTTTATTTTATTTACATATTTTTTGGTTATTTTCCCTTTTTTTTTCTTTTCGTTTTTGTGTTTTTTAGAATTACAGTTTGTCCGGATGAAACTAAAACGTTATTGGCTAACGAATCGAAACTTTTAACGACAGAAAATTGTGGCAACACCAGTACCAATGCAATTTCTACGTGAACAATTTCTACAAAATTACATATTTAAATTATATATATATATATAGGTAACTAAAATAAATAAATAAGAAAATTGAATATGAAAGAAAAGTAGAATGAAAATAAGGATTAATATTAACTTTCGCATCATCATCATTTGATTAGAATTCATTTTGTTTTTTTTTTGTTTTTTTTTTTCACCAAAGTTTAATTTATTACACGAATATATTATTATATGCTGTGAAGAAAAAAAAATTGTCATCATTTTATTCAGTTATCATTTCATCATTTTTCTTCTTTTTCCTCATTTATCTTTCAACTTTTATAATTGATATTTGTATGAAGTAACAATTTATGGTTACATTTAAAAAAAAAATGAAAAATTAAATTGATATACTCTGTACAAGATGACATTTTCTATGAAATACATAGTTAAGAAACAAAGATTAGTTTCCTATTTGATGATTGGTTGAACAAAACTCACAAATGCACAAATCCTTTCACTGTTATTATGCACATGTGTATCTTTCACCTTGGCAATCGCTTTCATGCGTGACCGGTAAATCGAAGACTATTAATCCAATCATTTGCGATCATGACTCTCTGCATACTTTTTCTTTTCTCTCCATTTCTGTCTCTCTTTCTCTCTCTCTCTCTCTCTCTCTCTCTCTCTCTGTCTCTCTTTTTATTTTTCTTACCATTATTATAAATTAAAATAAGAGAAATTTATAAACATTTAATGAAACATTCCTCACTAATGTAAATAATAAAATAAAAAAGTACTGATAAAACAAATTATTTTTACATAATATAAATGAATTATTTCTCAATGATTATTTTTTCTTCTTCTTCTTCTTCTTCTTTTTCTTTTTTTTTCAAAACGATTAACACATACTTTGAAAGAGTAAAAACAAATATAAAATTGTTGAGAAACGAAGGACGTTGAAAATTAACACTGGAAATGATTGTAATTTGAAAAGAAATCAAATGATTATACTTCATTATTTTATTATACAATATGATTAATAATTTTACACGTATCATTGCTTATAAGTGACAAGATAAACAAGAAACTAAAAAAAGATAGATCATTTGAGATGAAAAAAATAAAAAAAATTCATATTAAAAAAAATGTATCAGAAAAAAGGGGGAAAAAAAATATTATGTACATCGATTAAATGAAACCTTGTACTATATAAATAAATTTAAATAATAATAATTGTAATTATTAATATTATATAATTATAAATATAATTTTTATAATTATATATATATATATATATATATTTATATAATAATAAACTTGTTAATAAAAAAATAATAAATAATATTGTACAATACTTAAATAACAAATTTATATTATTACAAAACTTATAATAATATAATATTAATTTTGGATCACATAATTAATAAATAATAATTTATATATAATTTATATCAATACAATGTATAAATGAAATTTTAATTGACAATAAGTGTTATATAAATATAATATAAACAAAATACATAGAATTAGAAGTTTCATATTGGATTAATTAAGCTGCTGAAGTAAATAGAAATAGATGCTATCTAACAAAACTAAAATTTATATCAATACAATTTATAAATGGAATTTTAATTGAATATAAGTGTTATATAAATATAATATAAACAAAATACAAAGAATTAGAAGTTTCATATTGGATTAATTAAGCTGATAAAGTAAATAGAAGTAGATGCTATCTAACAAAACTAAAATTTATATCAATACAATTTATAAATGAAATTTTAATGAACAATAAGTGTTATATAAATATAATATAAACAAAATACAAAGAATTAGAAGTTTCATATTGGATTAATTAAGCTGCTGAAGTAAATAGAAATAGATGCTATCTAACAAAACCAAAATTTATATCAATACAATGTATAAATGAAATTTTAATGAACAATAAGTGTTATATAAATATAATATAAACAAAATACATGGAATTACATGCTTCATGTTGGTTTAATTAAGCCAATGAAGTAGATAGAAGTAGGTGCTATCTAACAAAAGCAATGAACCAATCTTACTTACTTACCTACCTACCTACCTACCTACCTACCTATCTACCTACCTGGAAACTAACAACAGTGTGGTGGGCAAAATATTCCGGAGCAAGTGGAATCCGTTGGTTGTACATTCGACGAGCAGTAGTCGGGTATCGGCCTCTCACCGTGCAAAACGTTTCCGTCTCTTTTGCGTTTATAAAACCCGGCCACGTTTTCTTTCGCCTCGGAATCGGTTTGGTGTTTCCTCTCGAATAGAGAAGATAAACAATCCTTATTTGTATTTTTTCATTACACTTTATTCGAAGGAAAATAATGAAAAAACCGAATTATATATAAAAGAGAGAGAAAGAACAAAAATCAAAAATAAAATATCGAATTTAATCAAATTATTATCCATAGAAGGAATATTTTTATTTTATTATTATTATTATTATTATAATTACAATTCAATTCTATGTACGATAATGTGTTTTATTTTAATCGATATTAATTAAGTGGCCATTGGAAAACAATATCAATTAATTAATTAATAATTTTCAAAGTGTTCCCTTTGGGAAATCCCCTTTTTTGTTGTATCTCGTTGAGAATTGAAATATTTTGTTCTTTTTCCCAACTATTTTTCTTCTTTGATTTTATTTTGTTTTCCAAGTTAAACGTTGGGGTTTTTATGATGGATCGATGAAAAGAAGAAAAAAGAGATTTAAAACAAAAAGGAAACTCAACAGTGTGATATGAAGGAACATTTTCGAAAATGTGAGTGAATAAATTTGATCTATGATCTATTTCAAGCAAAAATTCAAATAAAAACACAGATATTTTTATATAATTCTTTTTTTCTTTTTTTTTTTTTTTAAGGTAATTTTTAATTTTCTCTGTTTTTTTTTTTTTCATGTTCTCCTTTAATTTCTAACAAAATTGTGTTATCGATATATAAACTGAAAAGTTAAAGGGGTATAGAAAATCGATGAGGTAATCGATAGTCGAACATTTCTCTCTCTCTTTCTCTATTTGTATGGAGTAACTGTAATACTATATTTGAAATTTTATAAGTCATACAAACATTCTTATTTGTATTTCTTGTTTTTTTTTTTAAATTTATTTTCTTTTTATCTTGTATTTTATCTTTTTATTAAATCTCATCACGTTTCATACGCAAGATTTTCTTATTCGAATTTCGTAGATGATTGCGTTTTTATTCGTCTTATTTATCTCTCTCTCTCTTTCTCTCTTACTCTCTTTCTTTCTTTAACTTCATTTCACTCGTTGCAAATTTACAAACAAATAAACAGATGCACGTGTTCATTTGTTCTAATTCATTTTTGTATAATCGATCATATCAAACGAAAAATGATAGGAATATCTGGAATATCTAGGAATATCATAGGAATGATTTATATATATGTATATATATATATGTATATATATATATGTATACAAACATACGTAATGTATACATGTATGTATATGTATACGTATTTGAGTATGTATGTGTATTATAGGCTAGTACGCGAACTTTCTCCATGGACAAGCAACTCGAATCCTACGTAGGCGTACGACTTACACACGCTTTTACATTTATCGAATAACTTTTCCAACTTGTATGTATATTCGTTAGAGAATATATGTATTTTTCATTTTTTTGTTTGTTTATTTCCTAATGAATATATAAATCAAAATAATATAACTTTAATATATATATATATAATTATAAAAATAATGATTAATTCTTAAAATAACTTGTAAGAACAATTTTTGAATTCGTTAAACTTTAATTCACATTTTAATAAAACGTGTATGTATATGTATTGAAGCAAAAAGAAATACACACAAAGTCAAACGATTTGAATCGTAGGTTACTATAATCAAAGAAAAATATCTATGATATTTTATTAGTTCGAGTACTCACGAACTAGGAAGCAACTTTTATATCGGCGAGCAGCACGCGAGACGACTTCACAAACTGACTCGTTAAGTGCAAATCGTTTCCTTCCTTTCTTCCTCTTTCCAATCGATTGTTCTTGAAAATAAAAATAAATAAAAAAGAAAAAGAGAAAAAAGAATTTAAATAAAAAACAAAAAACAAAAAACAAAAAACAAAAAAAGAAACGATTTGTACGAAGCGAGAATTAATTAATCAATTTATTTCGATTCTCCAAAGTAATAGTATTCTGTAATATTTGTATAATTTATATATATATATATATATATATATATATATATATTATTAAATATAATAATTTTATAATCATAAATTAATATATAAATTGTATAATATAATAATATTTATTATATATAAATATTATATTATATATTAATTAATAATTGTATAATTATTAATAATTTCCTATAAATAAAGGAAAGTGAGTAATAGCATTTTGTAATATTTATGTAATTTATATATTATTATATTATTAATTAATTATTAATAATATTTATATATTATAATATTATATTATAATATATATAATATATTATATAACATTATATATGTATATTAGTATAGAGTATATTAATAATATAATATTAATATACTATTATAATAAAAATACTAATTAATATATATAATATTATATTATATTATATTATAATATTATAATCATTTATAAATTAATTATTAATAATATTATAAAATATCCAATAATTATTATAATAATTATTAATAATATATAAAAATTATCCAAATATTACCAAATACTATTACTTATTTTCCTTTTATAAGATAAGAATACGTTTTATCCATAATAAAAAAAAGTGCTTATCTATTACAATAAAATAATTGAACGTATAAATTACATATATCATAGTATACGCGAATAAAAATTATTCAACCAATTTAAAAGATAATAAGAAAACTCAAACACCTTGTAATAAAAAGAGAGAGAAAAAAAAACAAAATAATTAATAAGTATACAAATTGATATACAAATGTAAAGATTAATCGTATCTTATGCAATCATCGAATGAGAGTCGATCGTGTGTACTTCCGTAAGAAAACATAGTAGTTTCCCTCTTAAATTGTACCTGATCACATTCAAACTCACACAAACATACTTATATACAATCTTACTTATATATATATATATATATATACACACACAAACACAAACATATATACACACAAACATGAAAATCTTGAAAAGTTTGTAATAATAGTTTGAAAGAAGACGTGAACACGATTGAAACCTTTCACAAAGTACACCTTTACATACAACCATAGAATTTCTACGTATCCTAAGGTTTAGGTCGACTTGATGATCAATAATCATTTCTGATAATCTTCTTTTAAAAAAAAATAAAAAATAAATAATAAATGCATTGAGTAGAACGTACGGGAAGAGATGTTTCAGTAATTTCATTTGCTTCGAGAAACATCGGAGGGATCCATAAGACGTTGAGAAAGCGTGACGAAAGGGTCAAGGTCATATCGAATCGGAAGGTCGTGTTGGTATATTATACGTGTGGGTGTATGTATACATTTTTTTTCTATATATAAGCAGATATTTATATAAAAAAAAAATATTTAAACCGCAAAATGTGGTTTGTGAAAGATCGAAAACATTCACAGGTACACAGACACATGCATAAGTAGAATGCATGAGTGCACGTGAGTGGATACAAGAGATTTGTATATCATTAAATAGTAAACGTTTTATTTTCTTTTTTTTTTTTTTATGTCAATGATTTTAATTTAATTTAAGAATTATTTATTTATTATTTTTTTTTCTTGATAGTAATGTGAAATAGAAATGGGAAAAGTTTAATTTTGTTTTTATCATAATTGATATTTTTATTTTATTACGGTATAAATTAAATCGGTGGGATTTTATTACTGATTTTATAAGAAAATTGAAATAACCGGAAAAAAAAACAAAAAAATAGCAATATAAATTTTAATTAACATAATATAAAAATAATTCTTTTTTTTTTTTTTTTTTCTATAAGAAACATGAACTTTGATCAATGTTTTATCTTCGATACGCTTTTTACTTTACTAATAAATAAAAAAAAAAAAGGAAAGAAGAGAACCGTAAGGAATATTAATTAAAAAAAAAACTTGATTTTATATAACGTACGAGTTAAAAAAAAACAAAAAACAAAAAAAAAATTAATTATATAAAACACAAACTTAAGCAAGATTTAAATTATTAATTATTTCGAAAGATATTAATATTTATGATTAAAAAAAAAAAAAAAAAAATTAACTAAATCAATGTATTTATATGATACATGTTAATCGTCAAAAAATAATTAATTATGTTACATACTAAAAGTTGATATTAGATGATAAAATTTTAACCAATAAGGAAGACCAAACTTAATAATAATTCATATAAACATTAATATATAAAAATGAACAAATTAAAAGAAAAGAAAAGAAAAGAAAAGAAAAGAAAAAAAAAATAACAAATCACTTTTGCAATAATTATATACATTTGAAACATTCGTATTACATTATTAAATTTAAATTATTATGATATATACACGAGTAAAATAATTTGTTACTTATTTGATAAGATTGAAAAACACGATAATAATAATAATTAAAAAAAAAAAAGAACAATGTTGATTGCAATAAAAAAATGGGGAAGAAAATGTTAGAAAAAAATAGTACAAAAAAATTAAATATAAAAATAATATAAAAACAAATATTTCAAACTTAGACGAAACTCTATACGAAAGAATTTTGTTAGAATTTGTAAGTGCGTGTGTGTGTATTAGAGTGCTTTAAAATTTTATAAGCAACAAACATTACGTAGAAAATGTCCAAATGCAAGAAAACTTTCTTAGGAATTAAGTCGCATTTGCATCTATGGTACGCCATCATGCCAACACGCCATTTCCGCATTGGTTGGCTCGTTAAATTGAAAACGTGCTGCTTGTTAACCGTGATTAGTAAGGGAAAAATTAAGCGATTAAAATCGTTTTTACTTAATTAACGCGTTACTTTATAAAACAATGTAGTATAAAATACAACAACAATAAGAACAAAGTAAAAGAAAAGAAAAGAATAAAAAAATGGAGGAGGAGGAGGAGGAGAAGGAGAGGGTGAGATCTTCTAGAAAATGTATTCAACAAATTTTGAATAAATAAAAACTCAAATGAATCTCATTTTTATTTTAAATAATATTGATCAGTTGACTTGTCGATTAATCGTTTATTTCGTTTAATTGACAATTTAATTAAAATATTTTTCACTCACTAACGAAATTTGTTTCTCTTTCTTTTTATTTGTTCTTCTTCTTATAAATATTGTAAACGTTTTTTTTTTTTTTATTGAAATAAATGAAACGTGGTTGTTTCATTTAAATATATATTATTAAAACTTGATGTGATAGAAGATTTGGATAAATTTGATTATCATCTCGATATGACAAGATTTGAACATAAATTCATTAACATATATATGATGAATGTAATAACAACAACAACAACAAAAGAATTAAATAAATTAATAAATAATATCATTTATTATTCATAGTAACAGTAATAAGATTTTCAATTTTTATGGTGTAGCAGATTTTATAATATTTAATATTCTAAATTTGATTGATAATTTATGTTGATTTTAATGTACGATAGGAAATGAATGATTGTCAATCAAATTAAAAAATATTTTGTATTATTATTATTATTATTATTATTATTATTGTTATTGTTAATGTTATTATTATTATTATTATTATTATTATTATTATATGGAATATACTTTTGCAAGAGCGAGAATAAACGACAATGACGACGAGAAAGCGCCA